TACAATGACAAACAATGTGACACGTAATTTATGTATATATATCGGTGTTTTAAAGATTATCTATAGAAAAATAAAAATATTTAGTACCAGGAAAACTATGGCGAACATTTTTCATCATTCACATTACACGTTAATTATTTAAGGACAAATTATTAAGTAAATATGCGCGAATTAAACTTTCAAGTTCCTACGTTAGCGCATGTTACACACATCAATTTGTCAAATACTATTTGTTGACACACACATGTAATCGTTAAAGTTTGTGATCACTGATAACTGAATCCGGGGAACCGGAATATCAACATCGTAAGTTTGTCGCCATTTGACATTACATTCGGAGCCGGAAAAATGTATAAAAGAATTTGTTTCGAGTGTTAAGGCATCAGTCGCTCATCTGATAGAGAAAACTAAGCCAACTCATTAAACATGAAAACAGTACGTTGTAGGGCCTTCTTAATTTTAAGAAACAATTTTATTTTTTATTAGTTTTATCGTCAATAACTATAATTTAATCTGCAGATGATTGTGGTCGTCTTCGCCCTTGTGGCCGTCGCCTGCGCTGTTCCAGTAGAGGATATTAACAAAGTAGAACCCGAAGCTAGAGTGTTATTAGTTAAAGAACCAGAAAAGATTATTCGCTCAGAATTCAACCATGATTCCGAGGGTGGATACAACTTCAGGTAAGTTAACATAACATTTTTTTCTACTTTAACATGTTTTATGTTTCATGTTTATCAATTACTATTTTTAGATGACCACTATTATTGCCACAAAGAAATTCATTAAGCTAACTGGTGAAGTTTAATAAATAATTTATTAATAAGTAAATTATTTACATAAGTTTAAATAACAATTGTGTTATTATAATGAAAGAAATAAGGTCTAGGCCAGGCCTAGGTGCGTCAAGTGCCTAGTTGACCACGGCACTACTGACTAATCCGACACGCCTGAGACGGTTGTGTCAGACTCAGAGTTTACTAAATCTAAAACCTAGTGTTGTGATAGCTGGAGACCTAAACAGCAAACATTCCTCATGGAACTCGCTTGCTAATAACGCGAATGGTATAACTTTCTTCGATCTCACGGAGCTAAACTTCGATGTTATTGCGTCTGAAACTCCAACTCGCTACCCATTTTCTACCTGACAACGACCGGACATCCTTGATATGTCACGTTGTCGATATCACCAATCGAAGCGATCTTAGAACTAGACTCGGACTACAGACCGGTCTTGCGGCAGCAGATTTAGCTCGCTGGTGAAGTCCTTCAGACCATAACCATCGTAGACTTTCGTGAGCTCGAGGTCAAACTGGAGTCTCCGACCACCCAGCTCCTGCAGAGTTAGCCAATGAGGCGATTAGCGTCCTATCGGCTCACCTTAACTCAGCAGTCAAAGAAAGCTCTCGTATGGTTCGGGTGTCGAACAATCAACACACGAAGTTTCCAAGAGACATTTGGCAGCTGATCAGAGCAAGAAATACGGCCTCTCTGTTTTTGAAACGCCTACTCAAGGCTGGAGTCTTTCAGGGTTCAGTCCTCTCTCCACCCCTCTTTACACTCTTGACAAGTGACATCCCGAAGGACCCAGTAGTTTTCGCTAACGACACGGCACTTTTCGTCGCCCATCACAACAAAAAAATACTTACCTAGATACTCCAAACAGCCGTCAACCGCTTAGGCGATTGATTCCGCTTATGGAGAAACGAAGTGAATCGTGAGAAAAGTGTAGTCTTATACTTTCAAAGGCACCTCTCTCTGGATTGTCAATACCTAAATCCCAAAAAATCTTTAAGTAGTGATCTACTAAACATCCTATTCGGCCGCCAGATCTCCTGGCAATCAACGCCTAAATACCTAGACCGCAACATGACCTTCGCGAAACACTTTTTAATATCCGCCACCGTGCCAAACTCATTGCTAGTCGCCTTCTGGCTGGAGGCATGTGGTAGGTGCATGGTCTTTCATGTTACCCTGTGTTGGGACCTTTTAGCTTAAGAAAAAAGTCATTTAGTTAATATTGAAAACGGTTGTTACGTAATTTACAAGTATCAAATAACTTTATTTTAGATACTTCAGTATAATGGATAGCCATCTTTTTAAATCAATTAAAGTCTTCAGTATTTTTAATATAGTTATTCAAAGTATCATTACTCTCTTACGTCGTTTAGTCGTAAACTCACCTTAAAGAAGTTGTGGTTAACTTAGTAAATTATCTGATCACCCCTTAAGTGCTTGTACTAGACATGATATGATAACTCGAAAGAGTTATCCTTAATAATGCGTATTTAATTAACTTCGACTACATTCTTACTCGTATTACTACAGTTAGCCGTGGTAGCACACTGATCGTGATGGTTAGCGCCCGCTGTAAGTTTCACAGTAAGCGAGCAAACCGGGTTCGATCTCCGCCGGCACCAATGAAATTAAAGTTGCCAAAAATTATTAATTGCAATTTTAAGTGCTCATTTACCACGTGCTTGGCGGAAAAGAAAGACATTGTGTGGAAAACACACAAGACATTGTGTGAATGTCTGACAAGTAAGAAAAAAATATTTCGAATACATGTGAATTTCGTCATTACGCATTGGGGCAGCGCGGCGGACTTTTCCTTGCCCTAAAACCCTTGTCATAAATGAGAGGAGTCCTGTGCCCAGCAGTGGGACTTAAATAGGCTCTAACTTTAACTTTAACATTAATGATGTGTTCATTTTATTTATATTGAAGTCGGTTATACAAAAATATGATTTTATCACCTGTCCATATTATTTTTAATCATTACTAAAGTACCTTCATTTTTAATGAAATAAATCTATAACGATAATAAATATTATTCAATAAAATAAATTCAAAACAATGTAAGACTCTGTGCTAGCTTACACATTTATGGTTAATGGTAATACTCCTGCGGAGGTTTTTGGAGATTGCTGAAGTAGGATAAACCGATCACTAGGATATCACTATAGATCCATTGCATCTTAGATGCTGTTCTGTGTCCGTTAGTCTCAACTCTGATACTTAAATATTTGTATTTTAGAGTATTTCTGAGGTAATAGTTGCAGTTAAATGATGTTTATTGATCTTAATTTTGGTTTTAATTATGTACTTTAGCTTCGAGACCGAGAAAGGCATCAACCGCAACGAAAATGGTGAAGTGAAGGAGGTCCTTGATGAAGACCAAAAGCCCCACATGGTCGTCGTTGTCCGCGGTTCCTACTCTTACACTGATGACGACGGCAAAGTTGAGACCATCAACTACAGCGCTGATGAGAAAGGCTTCCATGCTGATGGCGACTCAATACCTACGAACGCCCCATCCAGGAGATAAGCTTGCAATGACTTCATTACAATGAGAAATATTTATACAACAACATCTAATAAACGATTTTTCATGGAACTCGGTTAGGGACGATTATGTTTGCCATAAATTTAGATGTAGGGAGAAGCATTTTTCTTGTTATTCGTTTTAACTGATGCACACTGCCATATTTTTACGTTGTTATATTGTTGAGTTAATATGAAAACCGTATAGTAAATAAACTAATTTAATACAATTGATTTGGTTTTTTAAAATTAATTAAATCTTTAACAGTTGACCTTGGCCATTAGGAACTGGCTTTTGATTCCATATGTCATCAAAAGTTCACATGAAGTTTACATTAGATGCCACATTACTTACCACACCCCATAACACATATTATGTTGGAAAAAAAGATATTTCATGCACAACATCTATGTGGCGTTGAATATTACATAGACGCAAATCATAATGATATTTGACTTTGGGTAGAGAAAATACAATCAAGTAATCACAAGTATTTTAAATATTTGTATGTATATAGATAGCCCAACAGCTTAGTACGCTGAAATAGTGATCGGCTGGCGAAATAGCTGGAAGCACCAACAATCGATAGGGGAAAAAGGTTCTCGAGTGGCAGCCTCGTAATGGTAGGGCAAAAAAACAAGGTCAGATGACTAAGATTACTAATCATTTTAAATTGATTCCGGTCTAGCCGTCCTTTGAAGTGGACTGTATTTATAGATGGTGGAAGATCCTTTAGAATTAAAGCAGCTATTATCTTCAAAATTTCCCCATAAGAGTGATACTGATTACTGTCACTATTTCCTATAACTTCCCTATGTGCTTTTCTTTCTTAATTTAAATATATACTGGTATTTGGTCCCGAACGAGTTGCATAATTACCCGTTTACTGAGCTATATCAAAGCTATACTCGAAAGAAAACCGCGCGAAGCGCGCGGTTTCACAATACCTTAACATCGATTTTTAGTATTGCCTCTTATACTTTTCCTAATATCTTTATTTGTACAAAACACACAGTCACACAATTTTTACATAATGAATGCACAAAAAAGTCTTAATATTATAACTTATATCACATTATAATCACATGCATTATTTGCTTAAATGGAGGTTCCAATCTATTAGTTTTTAAGGCATGTACTTTTTAAATACGAAATAAAATTTATTTATTATAATTATTATTTATTACATGAAAACCCGTTTGTATTGCCGGGTATTGGCGGTTAAGAATATCCACTACCTCATATTTTCCCATGGGTGTCGTAAAAGGCGAAAAGGGAAACAGGCAGAAGATGGGCAGCAGCATCTTCCTGGTAACGGCAAAAATACAATAAAAAACTGCGGTTGCCTACCCACTCGCCAAGCGTGGCAACTATGGCAAATACCATCCTATGATGATAGTAACAAAGATGCGGCCCACAGTCCCCGGCAGCCCCGCTATTCCTGGCTACGGTGGCGATCATGGTAACGGCGGGGCAGGGGGTGCTAAGAATCTCCGGTGGAGGATCGGTTGCTACCTAAGACGACTCGACCTGGCAACATACAACGCACGCAACCTGAGAACTGACTAGAAGATCGTGGAGCAGGAAGAGTAGACAAGTGGCGTTGAATTCAATTGCTGAGGTGACTCAGCACAGCTGCTCCAATTGTTGGGTCGGCAAGATAAACGCCAGCCTACGGATGACCGCCCACCTGGACGATCCCCCCAACCTGGGAGTACTGTTCTTGTGCAAGAACAATGTCCAGGTGCAGTTCACGCGCCATCTTAGGCATTGACGCGTCATGTTGGGCATTCACGCGCCATGTTCGGCATTCACGCGCAATGTTAGTATTCCATTTGAGGCCGAACCTGCGCATTGTAAAGTTGCAAGCGGTGTGCCCGCATGGAATACTATTCCGCTCTGCTGAGCACGCCAAGCTTTTTAGAGGCTTTGGCTTTTTGGAAACGACAGGAATACAAAATAATTTAATATACGCGATAAAATCCGTAAAATTAGTTTTATTTAAATGTGTAGTGTTCGCGTAAATATACGAAATCATTAAATACTAACTAGATTATTTGAAATAAGCATTCAAAACACAAAAATTTCTAACAACCAATGTATTTTCGCTACATTGAATTAAATCCGATGATAATTAGAAACTTTAAATATTAAAACACAATTCCAGATAAAGGAAAGTAAAAACTGATTTTGATTTAAAAAGTAGTCTACAAAAGTATTGAAAAATATAAAACTCAATGCTCGCTGATGACTCTTCAAATATTTACCGCAAGGTTGTACGAAAAAATCCGTAGCGTATGAACTTTTTTATAGAATAAGGGTAACTCACACGCAGACAGTCAAGCTGATGGTAAGTGGATGCTGTGACCATTAGATATCTAGATTTATCCTCGATTAAGTATCAAAATGCAGATGCGTCGTCACCCCTACGGACTAAAATGGAAAGCCTCGTTTCCAATAAAAAAGGGTCTCGAGTGGTAAAGCTTAAATGACATTTAATTAATATTATAGTAATTATATTATAGTAGCGTAAGTACATTGAGCAGACGGTCGAGTTTGCTAAGCAACTCGTCAGTTATATGGTAAGGAATATAAGCATAATCAAAATAAACCACAGCTAGGGCCCTTCGATGGAAGTTGTGGCGAGCCAATGTGCGAGGGTTACGGCCATGGACCCAATCATCATAACGCCGTAAGACGCAGCTGAGACGGTCCGTAGGACACTGAACTGGAAAAGTACGAGACTCGACGAGCTGCATCACTACCGGCTGATGGTGTGTCACGCTGTGCTCGCCCGAAAATTTGAAAAGGCCCTCGACCAGAAGTCACTCCCGAGTCTCAATACTGGGCTCACTAATTATATTCCTAAGGACCAGGATACCATAAACCCGGACAAATACAGCCCCATTATATGTATACTCACTATACACAAAACACTGACATCCATTTGAGCGTGGGAATCACCTGAACTCAAATCAGGTCGTAGAACCAAGAAACCAATCTTCATTGACGTGGTAATTGGCAAGAAAGTTAAACGCAACCGTCGAAACTTCTACACCGCCTGGATAGACTACAAAAAGGCATTTGACTCTGTGCCTCATAAATAGCTGAAGAGGCTCCTCGAGCTAAACAAAGTTGAATGTACTGTTAGAGATTTCGTCGGGCAATTTACGATGTGATGAGTTTTGTGCATGCTTGACAAAAGTGCTTAATAGTATTTTGTCGTGCGTTAATAAAACACACGCATATAACGGTTGAGTCATGCCTGTCCTCACGTATACCTTCGGCATACACTTGTGTACTCAGACGAAACTGAACACTGAATAGAAAAGTCCGCACTGATATGATGTCCCACAGGATGCATCTCCTCATGTCTCTCGTGTACCTCTCGTGTCCCCGCAGGACAATAAATAAAGCTCAGACTCTTGTTCTGTCTCATACATATATTTCATAGTGCGTTTTTTCAATGCCGTAAACAAATATATTTATACTATTTGTATATAATATAAGTGGCTGTAAAGGATGAGATTTATAATAAATAAATCAATTTAAAATCAATAAACATTTTTAATATTCGATAGAGTGACAAACGAGCACACAGTCCACCTGATAGTATGTGGTTGCTGTGGCCCATAGACATCTACATCTATCTTCATTTGCGAATAAAAATGAAGATGCGTTGTCAACCGTGAGGACTAAGTTGAAATGCCTCTTTTCCAGTAAAAAGGGTCTCCGGTTCTCTACACTCATCATACGAAACACAGCAGTGTTAAGCTGCCATTTCACTCTGGTATTCTGTGAGAGCGTGGCCTTCCCCGGTCGAGCCGACCCATTCGTGTTACAATTATACTACTAATATAGCTGCAGCATGGCTCTACTACGTGTAATATTAGGTTAATTGAAAAAGTATGCACAGACACTTGTTGTGTCTCATACTTACATAGATTTTCCATTTCTCTACCCTACAAGATATTTAAGTGCAAACTTTAAATACATTGGAATCTTCCAACACGTTTATGAGTGTATCAAAAAGTTTTATCATTTTTCTTATAATAAAATCCGTGCTAAATAAAACATCGTGTAAATCAATCCCTAAGTTTATGACTACATAGTATACAAACACGGAGGAGTGTTTAACAAATTCAATAAGCACCGACCATGATATCTTCAAATTGTCTGTATAATTATTTGTTAATGCTTCAAAAACGTTAATAAACTAATTTCAAAATACGCAATAAATAAACATAAAAATAATACATTCTATAAACAAAGAAAACACAGCTTTATATATATATATATATATATATATACTAGCTGTTCCCCGCGACTTCGTTCGCGTGTTAGTGTTTTTATGTTTCTGCGCGGAACCCTGATTATTTTTCTAAAATAAAAGTAGCCTATTTTACTCCTTATGAAATCAGCTATCTGCCAGTGAAAGTCCCGTCAAAATCGGTCCAGCCGTTTCGGAGATTACCCGGAACAAACAGACAGACAGACAAAAATTTAAAAAATTGTATTTTGGTTATAGGTATCGTATTTACTTTCATATGCATTTAGTAAAAAACTGTAATTTTGACATTACAAACAGACACTTCAATTTTATTTATTTGTATAGATATAGCTGGCCAGGCAGACTTTTTTCTACCCTCTCCGACGACGCTGGGTCCTATAAAAATTCTTAAATTCGTAATAAAACATAATGAGGGTCACTTATAGGTATAAAAATTATCCTATCTCTCAAGTTGGACCAAACTGCACACAGTGTGCAAAATTTCATTGCATTCAGTTTAGGAGTTCATCGCGGACAAACAATGTGACACGAAATTTATATATATATATATATATATATATATATATATATATATATATATATATATATATATATATATATATCGGTGTTTTAAAGATTATCAATAGAAAAATAAAAATAAAAAGATTTAGTACCAGGAAAACTATGGCGAACATTTTTCATCATTCACATTACACGTTAATTATTTAAGGACAAATTATTAAGTAAATATGCGCGAATTAAACTTTCAAATTCTTGCGTTAGCGCATGCTACACACATCAATTTGTCAAATACTATTTGTTGACACACACATGCAATCGTTAAAGTTTGTGATCACTGATAACTGAATCCGGGGAACCGGAATATCAACATCGTAAGTTTGTCGCCATTTGACATTACATTCGGAGCCGGAAAAATGTATAAAAGAATTTGTTTTGAGTGTTAAGGCATCAGTCGCTCATCTGGTAGCAAGAAAACTAAGCCAACTCATTAAACATGAAAACAGTACGTTGAAGGGCCTTCTTAATTTTAAGAAACAATTTTATTTTTTATTAGTTTTATCGTCAATAACTATAATTTAATCTGCAGATGATTGTGGTCGTCTTCGCCCTTGTGGCCGTCGCCTGCGCTGTTCCAGTAGATGATATTAACAAAGTAGAACCCGAAGCTAGACTGTTATTAGTTAAAGAACCAGAAAAGATTATTAGCTCAGAATTCAACCATGATTCCGAGGGTGGATACAACTTCAGGTAAGTTAACATAACATTTTTTCTACTTTAACATGTTTTATGTTTCATGTTTATCAATTACTATTTTTGGATGACCACTATTATTGCCACAAAGAAATTCCTCAAGCTTACTGGTAAAGTTTAATAAATAATTCATTAATAAGTAAATTATTTACATAAGTTTAAATAACAATTGTGTTATTATAATGAAAGAAATAAGGTCTAGGCCAGGCCTAGGTGCGTCAAGTGCCTAGTTGACCACGGCACTACTGACTGCTCCGACACGCCAGAGACGGTTGTGTCAGACTCAGAGTTTACTAAATCTAAAACCTAGTGTTGTAATAGCTGGAGACCTAAACAGCAAACATTCCTCATGGAACTTGCTTGCTAATAACGCGAATGGTATAACTTTCTTCGATCTCACGGAGCTAAACTTCGATGTTATTGCGTCTGAAACTCCAACTCGCTACCCATTTTCTACCTGACAACGACCGGACATCCTTGATATGTCACGTTGTCGATATCACCAATCGAAGCGATCTTAGAACTAGACTCGGACTACAAACCGGTCTTGTGGCAGCATATTTAGCTCGCTGGTTAAGTCCTTCAGACCATAACCATCGTAGACTTTCGTGAGCTCGAGGTCAAACTGGAGTCTCCGACCACCCAGCTCCTGCAGAGTTAGCCAATGAGGCGATTAGCGTCCTATCGGCTCACCTTAACTCAGCAGTCAAAGAAAGCTCTCGTATGGTTCGGGTGTCGAACAATCAACACACGAAGTTTCCAAGAGACATTTGGCAGCTGATCAGAGCAAGAAATACGGCCTCTCTGTTTTTGAAACGCCTACTCAAGGCTGGAGTCTTTCAGGGTTCAGTCCTCTCTCCACCCCTCTTTACACTCTTGACAAGTGACATCCCGAAGGACCCAGTAGTTTTCGCTAACGACACGGCACTTTTCGTCGCCCAACACAACAAAAAATACTTACCTAGATACTCCAAACAGCCGTCAACCGCTTAGGCGATTGATTCCGCTTATGGAGAAACGAAGTGAATCGTGAGAAAAGTGTAGTGTTATACTTTCAAAGGCACCTCTCTCTGGATTGTCAATACCTAAATCCCAAAAAATCTTTAAGTAGATCATCCTATTCGGCCGCCAGATCTCCTGGCAATCAACGCCTAAATACCTAGACCGCGACATGACCTTCGCGAAACACTTTTTAATATCCGCCACCGTGCCAAACTCATTGCTAGTCGCCTTCTGGCTGGAGGCATGTGGTAGGTGCATGGTCTTTCATGTTACCCTGTGTTGGGACCTTTTAGCTTAAGAAAAAAGTCATTTAGTTAATATTGATAACGGTTGTTACATAATTTACAAGTATCAAATAACTTTATTTTAGATACTTCAGTATAATGGATAGCCATCTTTTTAAATCAATTAAAGTCTTCAGTATTTTTAATGTAGTTATTCAAAGTATCATTACTCTCTTACGTCGTTTAGTCGTAAACTCACCTTAAAGAAGTTGTGGTTAACTTAGTAAATTATCTGATCACCCCTTAAGTGCTTGTACTAGACATGATATGATAACTCGAAAGAGTTATCCTTAATAATGCGTATTTAATTAACTTCGACTACATTCTTATTACTACAGTTAGCCGTGGTAGCACACTGATCGTGATGGTTAGCGCCCGCTGTAAGTTTCACAGTAAGCGAGCAAACCGGGTTCGATCCCCGCCGGCACCAATGAAATTAAAGTTGCCAAAAATTATCTTACCAATGAAATTATTAATTGCAATTTTAAGTGCTCATTTACCACGTGCTTGGCGGAAAAGAAAGACATTGTGAGGAAAACACACAAGACATTGTGTGAATGTCTGAGAAGTAAGAAAAAAATATTTCGAATACATGTGAATTTCGTCATTACGCATTGGGGCAGCGCGGCGGACTTTTCCTTGCCCTAAAACCCTTGTCATAAATGAGAGGAGTCCTGTGCCCAGCAGTGGGACTTATATAGGCTCTAACTTTAACTTTAACATTAATGATGTGATCATTTTATTTATATTGAAGTCGGTTATAAAAAAATATGATTTTATCACCTGTCCATATTATTTTTAATCATTACTAAAGTACCTTTATTATTCAATAAAATAAATTCAAAACAATGTAAGACTCTGTGCTAGCTTACACATTTATGGTTAATGGTAATACTCCTGCGGAGGTTTTTGGAGATTGCTGAAGTAGGATAAACCGATCACTAGGATATCCCTATAGATCCATTGCATCTTAGTTGCTGTTCTGTGTCCGTTAGTCTGAACTCTGATACTTAAATATTTGTATTTTAGAGTATTTCTGAGGTATTAGTTGCAGTTAAACGATGTTTATTGATCTTAATTTTGGTATTAATTATGTACTTTAGCTTCGAGACCGAGAAAGGCATCAACCGCAACGAAAATGGTGAAGTGAAGGAGGTCCTTGATGAAGACCAAAAGCCCCACATGGTCGTCGTTGTCCGCGGTTCCTACTCTTACACTGATGACGACGGCAAAGTTGAGACCATCAACTACAGCGCTGATGAGAAAGGCTTCCATGCTGATGGCGACTCAATACCCACGAACGCCCCATCCAGGAGATAAGCTTGCAATGACTTCATTACAATGAGAAATAATTATACAACAACATCTAATAAACGATTATTCATGGAACTCGGTTAGGGACGATTATGTTTGCCATAAAGTTAGATGTAGGGAGACGCATCTGTCTCATATCTTTCTTGTTATTCGTTTTAACTGATGCACACTGCCATATTTTTACGTTGTTATATTGTTGAGTTAATATGCAAACTGTATAGTAAATAAACTAATTTAATACATTTTATTTGGTTTTTTAAATTTAATTAAATCTTTAACAGTTGACCTTGGCCATTAGGAACTGGCTTTTGATTCCATATGTCATCAAAAGTTCACATGAAGTTTACATTAGATGCCACATTATTTACCACACCCCATAACGCATATTATGTTGGAAAAAAAATATATTTCATGCACAACATCTATCTGGCGTTGAATATTACATAGACGCAAATCATAATGATATTTGACTTTGGGTAGAGAAAATACAATCAAGTAATCACAAGTATTTTAAATATTTGTATGTATATAGATAGCCCAACAGCTTAGTACGCTGAAATAGTGATCGGCTAGCGAAATAGCTGGAAGCACCAACAATCGATAGAGGAAAAAGTTTCTCGAGTGGCAGCCTCGTAATAGTAGGGCAAAAAACAAGGTCAGATGACTAAGATTACTAATCATTTTGAATTGATTCCGGTCTAGCCGTCCTTTGAAGTGGACTGTATTTATAGGTTTCACAATACCTTAACATCGATTTTTAGTATTGCACTCTTATGCTTTTCCTAATATCTTTATTTGTACAAAACACTCAGTCAAACAATTTTTACATAATGAATGTACAAAAAAGTCTTAATATTATAACTTATATCTCATTATTATCACATGCATTATTTGCTTAAATGGAGGTTCCAATCTATTAGTTTTTAAGGCATGTACTTTTTAAATACGAAATAAAATTTATTTATTATAATTATTATTTATTACATGAAAACCCGTTTGTATTGCCGGGTATTGGCGGTTAAGAATATCCACTACCCCATATCTTCCCGTGGGTGTCGTAAAAGGCGACAAAATGAAACAGGCAGGAGATGGGCAGCAGCATCTTCCTGAATAGAATAGAATAGAATAGAATATTTTTATTCAATATACATTACATGTGTAATTCTTATTGAAAGTCATTTTTTACTTTACCACTGGTTCGAAAAAAACCCTCTGTCCTGGGAAGAACCAGCAAGAAACCCAGCGGGGACTTTTTTTTAAAATAAATTTTACAATATAAATGATTACGAACTATTTACAAATTTTATTTTAGAAACTGCTTGGAAGCGATCACCTCATTCCCAGGGGTTATTATCAACCATGTATTCATTTATACTATAATAACCCTTTTTATACAGTTTCAGCTTAATAAAACATTTAAACTTGGTAATAGAGAGAACCTGTACACTTTCCGGGTCCTTGTTGTAATAGCGTATACATTGCCCCAAGAATGAATTACTGACTCTGTGGAGTCGAGAAACTGGTATCACTAGCTTGTGTTTGTTCCTAGTGTTTACAGAATATATATCACTTCTTTTACTGAAACTATCTTTGTTTTTGTGAACATACATTAAATTTTCGTAAATATACTGAGAGGCCAAAGTTAATATATTAATTTCTTTAAATTTATCTCTAAGAGACTCTCTCGGTTTTAGATTGTAAATAGCTCTAATAGCCCTCTTCTGTAAAACAAAAATAGTTTCTGAATCAGCCGCATTTCCCCATAGCAAAATCCCATAAGACATTATGCTATGAAAATAACTAAAATAAACTAATCTAGCTGTCTCGACACTAGTGAGACCTCTAATCTTTTTTACAGCATAGGCTGCAGAACTTAGTCTGCTTGCTAATTTGGATATATGGGGGCCCCACTGGAGCTTTGCGTCAAGTGATGCCAAGATAAACAGTGGGTACAACAGGGCTCAATTCCTCCCCATTTAAAAACACATTGGTATTCAGATTTTGAACATTCGTTGTTGTAAATTTAACACAATTAGTTTTATTTCCGTTCAAATGCAGATTATTAACGTTAAACCAATGCACTAATTTTGATATAGCATTATTCACTTCGTCACATTTAAAAGATTGTCGTTTAAGTTTAAAAATCAAGGAAGTTTCATCAGCAAATAATACTATATCATGACTATCCCCTACAAGGTGAGGTAAGTCATTAATATACACCAGAAACAGGAATGGGCTGAGAATCGAGCCCTGAGGTACACCCATTAGTACAGGTGACCCGGAAGAACTTTTACCATTGATAATAACCTTCTGTTTTCTATTACTTAAATATGAAATAATAAGTTTAAGCGCTGTGTTCTTGACACCATAGTACCGTAGCTTCCTGATTAATGTCTCATGGTGAACACAGTCGAAGGCCTTGGAAAGGTCACAAAATATACCCAAAGCATCCTCTGAATTCTCCCATGCACAAAAAATATGTTTAATAAGCTCAACTCCAGCGTCAGTTGTCGAGCGACCCCTTGTAAAACCGAATTGATTATTATGTAGCAATTTATTAATATTAAAGAAACTTAACATCTGATCTAAAATAATTTTTTCAAAAAGTTTACTTAATGTTGGTAGTACAGAAATTGGTCTAAAATTGGCGGGGTCTAATGTACTACCAGATTTAAATATAGGTATGACTTTGCTATGTTTCATTAAATCAGGAAACACACCAGATTCGACGCTTATATTAAATATAGTGGCTAGATAAGGTGCTAATGTATCTATTATAGATAAAATAACTTTCACGGAAATCCCCCATAAGTCTGCCGTTTTCTTAACATCAATATTTTTAAAATATTTAACGATATCTTTTGGCAGTACCCTATGGAATTTAAAAGTATTTGAACAAGCCTTTACATTTTGTTTGAGCAATAATTAGGCGACAGTAGGAGAAGAATTTAATGATTTTGTTGTCAAAAAAGGAACATCAGTAAAATGTTTCTCAAAAGCCATAGCAACTTCTTGATCAGATCGCGTTAAATTATTGTTAATATTCAATTGAAAATCCGAGTTGCGCGGTTTGTCCTTGCCCGTTTCACTATTTATTATTCTCCAGGTCATTTTAATTTTGTCGGATGCAGTTTTAATTTTGTTGCTTAAATGTAATGCCTTAGCAGTGGAGCACACTTTTTTAAATATTTTAGAATATGTTTTTACATAATCTCTAAATATAACACTACTATTATATGATCTTTCATCATAAAGCTCGTATAACCTTCGCCTACTTTTATAAATTCCTACTGTCGCCCATTCATTAAATGATTTGCGACTGTTAAAAGAGAAAGTTTTAGAAGTAAATATTCTACTAAATTCGCAACGTATAATTTCAAATAATGTAGCATACAAATAATTAGCACTATTTTTAAACGAAAGTGATGGAAGTCTTTTTATTATATTACTTCTAAACCTCTCCAAGCGATGTTCATTTATTGGAACAAACACAACTTTCTTATTTTTCTGTTTTTTGTGTATGTAAGGTAGTGATACTAACTGTCCACGGTGATCTGAACTTAAATTTTGAATAATTGATTTATGCAAGGGCTTAACATCTGTAAAAATGTTATCTATACAGGTCGCACTAGGCCCAGCAATACGTGTTGGTTCTAAGAATAAATTTACAAGATTATACGATTTAAACAATGAGCTAAACTTAATACTAATGGAAGAAGTTTCAAGGAGATTGATATTAAAGTCTCCACACATTACAACAGACTTGTTCTGCTTACTAAGTTTGAGTAAAACTTCTTCCACAATCCTTTCAAAATGGTCATAAGTAGCACATGGGGGTCTGTAAACACTTACAACAATGAGGTGCTCGAGCTCGACACAAGCCACTTCTACAGTTCGTTCAACAGAGAGACTCACAATATCCTTACGTTCTTTATATAATAATGATTTATCTGCTAATATTAAGGAGCCACCACGTAAACTTTTTTCTCTATTGAAGGAACTGACGACCTGGTGATTTCTGAAATTAAACATGAAATTATAATCTTTTAGCCAATGTTCAGTAACACAAAGGATGTGTATATTGTTACTATTTAAAAACAATTCAACTTCCAATTCTTTGCCCAACATGCCTTGTATATTTTGATGCACCAGGTGTAAACAATTTTTATTACTTACTTGTGGGCTGTATTCAAAATTAATTAAACTCTTATTATTGCTAGAGATTGCCTCTATTGTCACATTCACTAATTTAAATTAGTTGGAACTGATTCCAAATTAAATATCAAATGATTATGCTCAATAAAAGCAGTCTTGGTAGCCAAAAACTTGGCTGAGTTAAAAAGTAAATAATAAGATAGCACATTTGCTATCAGTCTTAAATTATATTTGGATAGGTAATACCTATCTTTTGTCCAAAACTTTTTTATTAAATTATTTATGTCAATTACATGAAATTTATGATTATTATCATTAGAATTATATGTCAAATTTAAATTATTATTACATATTAAATTATGCATTTGTATATTTAAATTATGTCTTAAATTATTTTCTTGTGGCAATCCCTGTATATAAGGCAGTGTGAACAAGACAATTTTGTGTACATTTAAGTTATTAAGTTGTTCAATATATCTTAATAACTGTTTGTTGTTGACACTGCCTCTTCTACCAACAAAAATTATTATTGTACTATTTGGGCAAAATTTTGTAACAATAATTTTATTTAGGATGTCACTAAAAGATGCTCCAGGCATGCAGCAATTTGTAACTTTTTGTCCCTTTAAAGAGTTATTTAAAGTTATGCCTAGATTTTTTCCCATGTCATCGCTATAAACAATTATATTATTTTTAGTAATATTTGAGTTATTTATTATTTTAATATCCTCTGCTATGGCACTGTCATAGAGTTTTTGTGGTGGTATAATATTATCAGCACACACTGACTTTGAAGAATCTGGCATTGAGCGCTGACACTCACATTGATATTTAACTAAGGAGTCAAACCG